TTTAGATAAGAATGGGGTCTGCTGTTCATTTTCCCAGTTCTATGCTGGGTTACTATCTGGGAGTCCCTTTGGCCACCCTGGCCAACAACTCAAAAGAAGGTATCTCCTATCTGACATTGTTGCTTGTTATGTAGCCTTTTCCAAGAGTATTTTATATGCTGTAACAATTATAGGATCTGATTAAATCCTTCCTTGAGAAGGTAAATCTCATTAAATTCTCATTTTATGTATGAATGAATGATGCTCATAGAAATTGAGCATCTTTCAGCAAGATAACAGCCTGTGGATTGGTGTCCAGTTCTAAAGCTTTTTGTTTCTCCTTACCAACTGCCTATGCTCCCTCAAATGGGATCTCTAGATAAGATGGCCATCTGAATCCAGGACCTGATGCCTGATACTCCTTTGTGTCTCTGTAGTCATCCGTGTCTGTTAAGCAGGCTTAACACTATCTTTAATTCCCTTTTCTTCATTCTCTACTGCCTGTGTCCATGTCTTACTCATTGAAATGATTCATACCCTTTCCTTCTGTATTCCTGAGCCACACAGTATTCCAATATATCACAGCATCCAACTTAGTTTGTAGAATGTTGTTTCAGCCACCCAGGTGTAGGGTATATACTGTATTTCAGATTATTTAAGGGGTTTGAAAGATGGCTCAGCAGTTGAGAGCCTTGGCTGCTCTTGCAGAAGACTCAGGTTTGATTCCCTACATTCGCACCACATGGCAGCTAACAGCTGTCCATAGCTCGAGTTCCAAGGGAATTCAACACCCTCTTCTGACCTACTTGGGCATTGTACAACATGGGGGCACTTACACACACGCAGGCAACACACTCACACATAAAAATAATGAAAATAAAAAATAAAACTATTTAAAGCAGGATTATATCTGAGGAAGAAAATGTGTTTTAGAAAAAGAATAGGACAAAAGGAAATAATCTTATAGTCTTTCTTTTCCCTATTTTCTCTAAATTTTATGTAATTACTGTTTTGTATGTGTATTTGTCTTCCCCTTGATCTTGGGAGAGGAAAAGGGTAGTGTTGCTGGAAATGAACCCTGAGCTTCATGAATGCCAGCTAAGTGATCTACCACTGAGTGCGCTGCTCCAGTTGTTTATTACAGCTTTAAATTAAGTAGAGTTCTTAAATTACAGCTTGTTTTTTTTTTCCCCCTCCAACAGTTAACCATGTGACCTACTGCTATGTGGAATCGTGTGGGATGCTACCTGATAAACCAGGCTGTTTTAACCATGCTGAGCAGACAGGCTGTTTCTTTGACACAAATATCACGGGCTTTTCAGGGTTAAAATTGCTGTTACTCTGTCCTTGCTTTGGCACAAAAAGCACACTGAGGGTTGTTTTTGTTTTTCTTATTGCAGGTTTGCCTACAGGTAGATTAGATTTAATTATTACTGTGTAATGCAAGTACCATTGGGGGAAAGCTCAGCTAGATACATTTTTTAAAAAAGGTGCTGCCTTTTTGAATTGATAAGAAAACGCCTGTGAGTCGTGATAGAACAGTTTTCCTCATGAGTGAGAGGAAGGAACTTTCAGGTGGAATGACCATCAGTATCAAGATCAGCTCATGGAAGGAGTAAAGAAAATATCTCAAAATGAGACAAGTTTTTTTTTTAATGACTTTTTTTGTGCTCTTGCAAGACTACACAGAATGATTTTGTAAGAAAGCAGTGGCGTCACATGAATTTCGGCGCCCTCATTGTAGAGTTCAGAAGCCTGGCTGTCGATTGCCCATAGTGGACTTGATGGAGAAATTAAATACCTTCCATTATGCTTTACAAAATACTGTATATGTTTCATCAAGTTTGTAGATTGGGGAATGGGAGAAGACAGAAGAATTACATTTAATCTATGCATTTTTTGCCAAGCCATATTGAGTTATTTTACTACTAGAGACATTAGGAACCAACTGTACAAAAGAACCAAGTTTAAAAGCATTTTGTGGGGTACATCATTTCTGTAATTGTATAATGTATTTCTTTGTGGTTTTAAGTGAAAAAGACTAAGTTAACAAACATAAGAAATGTATGCACTGTTTGAAATGTAAATTATTCTTAGAACACTTTCAGTGGGAGTTGCATTGCCCTTTTAGTGCCTTAATTTGAGAAAATTATTTTACTGCCGTAAGTACAGGTTTTTCAGAAAACAGATTTTACAAAAATAAAATTATGTGTATCAGTGGGTTTTTCATTGGTCATTGGTTTAATTTAAAATATTTAGAGGTTTGTTGGACTTTCATAAATTGAGTACAATCTTTGCATCAGACTACCTGCTACAATAATGAATAAGACTAGAAAACTCTGCAAAAATATACAAGGCTGCAGCAGTATAAAAAGATAATGGCAACATATCCGTGATGTTTTCCAGTTAATGTAGGATTACCAGATAAATACTGTTAAAACTCTTGTCCAGTAACAAGAGTTGATTTCTATGGGCAGTATGATTTATTGTTTATTTTTTAACCAAATACCTCCTCAGTAATTTATAATGGCTCTGCAGTAATGTATATCAAATAAGCACTGGAAAACTGATCGTCTCTAGGGTGATATGCATGTTTCAAGTGGTATTGAAAGCCGCACTGATGGATATGTAATAATAAACATATCTGTTATTAATATGCTAATGACTCTGTGCTCATTTAATGAGAAATAAAAGTAATTTATGATGGATACTTTTAATATTGACTACTATGGTGTTTTCTCATGGCTGGACTGAATAGACAGCATACTGCAAATTACTCTGTATTTGTATACAAATGTTTGCTAAATTTATGACTATATTAAAATTATTTTTAAAAGATAAAACTTGGTTTGGGCTCTAAAACAAGAGGAACAGTTGTTCAGATGAAAAGTTGGCTAATTTCTATTGAGAAGCACTTTTCTGTGGGTCTCTTGGCGTTCTGTATATCTTGTGAGGAAAGAATGTGATAACCTGTTGTGGACTGTTTGATAAGTACCATACAACAAATCAGCAGCCTTAAGTCTCCCTTTCACAGGTTCACTTGATGTCCAGTGTAATAAGGTCTCCCTCCATGGTTAAAGTCACGCAGGTTTGCTTGAGCTCATTATAAAGTATTCAGGTACCATGTGCTTGAGTTCCTTGCCTATGAAACAAAGCCATTGTGCGTTCAGGACCACGTACAGTCTACATTGCCCATTGTGAGACTTGGGCAAAGGAACTGATGGATCATGAAGTTCATGCTGCTTGCTCTTCTGTGAGTAATAAAATCATTTTTCTCTGACCCAGATGTCTTGTGTCTTCTGCCAAGATCCATTAAAATGTGACTGTATTTTGCAAATGGGTAGACTTCCCTGATCCTTCACTGCCTGACAATGTCCTTACTACCTTCTTATAAGTATCCCCATTAAGGTACAATTTCAGAGAGCAGAGTTAATACTAAGTCTAAGCAAGAGGGGACTTTTTGATGAAATATTAATCTGAGCTTAAAATTGCTGAGAAGGGAGTGTTTTGAGAAATAATTCCCAGTACAACCTTGCCGAAGCAAATGGGCAGGAAGGGCTGCTTTCTCTCTCTCTCTTTTTTTTTTTTTTGATATTTTATTTATTATTTTTATTTTATGTGTATGAGTATATTGCCTGCATGTATGTGAGTGCACCCGTGTCGTGCAATGCCACGGAGGTCAGAAGAGGGCTTCGGATTCCTCTGGAACTGGAGATAAGGATGGCTCGTAGCTGCCATGTAGGTGCTGGGAATTGAACCCGGGTCCTCTGCAAGAGCAGTCAGTGCTCTTAACAGCTGAGCAAACTCTCCAGCCCCTGCTTTCTCTCTTAAGTTCAGGAAACAACTTGCTCCCAAAATACACCAACATGGCGCTGAGCAGAGTGAGATCAAGGCACTGCTCAGCAGCACTTTGCATTTCTGCTACATCTACAACACGACTGGATACTTTGCACTACATTCTCCAGGTAGGAATTTCATGATTTCATGTCCACTCATTGGGATCACTGTCCACACTGCCTCAGAAAACCATTTCCATGTCCCTAGCTTGCCAGCACAACCTCCATATTACACCTACCTTCTATGGGTACAGCTGCTTGGCCAAACACTTATCCAGACTCCTAGCTCAGTACAGTATGTGAAGCAGCTTCTAGATTTCTCTCTACTTTATTACACAGGAAGACACCCTAAGGGAATGGAGGCTTACCATTAGGCCAGCCCATCAACCATACCTGCAAGTTACCAGCTGAGATGCAACCTCTAGACTAGAAAGAAAATAGCCACTATCATCACTCACAGGCTTAATCCCACTGGGATCACTTCTGTTTATTTGGGGTTCCATTATATCCATGGAGGCAGGTATTTACTGTTTCACCCTTAATCTAAAATGATACATTTTATACATGATATCTATATCATGTATAAACACCTGTGTTATATGTGATATATATCAGTAAGCAAAATAATTCAAACATGGGAATGGAACTCAATTACTTGATAAAATATTTAATGTACTTTTTATATCACTACGGATTGTGTACAGTCCGTCTCCACTGTATTGGAGGGTACAGTCTTAGATTCTCAGCAGACACCTAAAACTTGGAATTGTACTGAACCTGTTTGTTTTTTCTATACATATATATGCATGTGTAATCCCCTTTCCATCTTAGCATGTGTGCACTGCAGCCATAACTTCTGCAGTATAAGGAGCGAGACTAGCACAGGTTTGCTTTTCCCAAACGATTACAGAAGGATCATTCGTATTCTGTATCATGCATAACAACTGCCAACAGTATGTTCTTGTTTGTTTTCTTATTCAGTCAAGACCTTGTACCTTCTAACTTAAAGGGAGCACTTTATAGGCTAGCCTTGGTAGGTCTGAATTGCCAGCATCGCCACTCTCCCACTTGGGGACCATATTCTAAAGGGTTGCTTGAACACAAGTACATAACAGTCATTCGCAACCAGAGCATCTAGGTGGGTAACAGGCCAGCAAGGCAAACGGTGGGTGTGCTAAACAGAATGATTGGCACAGAACATCATTAAAACATCTACAAAATCTTCCATTGAATGCTTTTGGACTGCAGTTGACAGTAGGTAATTGACTACAAAAAGCAGAACTGGGTAATGGAATAATTTGGTACTCAGTGTATCAATTTATTGCTTTCTACTGAGTTGCTCATTTGAATTTCATGCTTTAATTTTTCCTTATCTTACAGGATGCTTTCCACTCAGAAGACATAGAATTAACTATCATCAAAGGATGGCCTTTTGGATTTTGTGTTTCAGAGTTTCACACTGTAGCCTATGCTCGCCTCAAACTCACAGCAGTCCTCCTGCCTCAGATTCCTGAGGTATTAGATTACAAGCATGAGCCACAATGCCCAACTTAAAGGATATATGTTTTTTATTTTGATATATATATATATATATATAATGTGTATGAATGTGTTGCTTGTAAATGCATGATGTGCAGGATCTGCAGAAGTCAGAAGAGGGCATCAGATCCCCTCCAACTGGAGTTACGGACAATTGTTAGCTGCCATGTGGGTGCTGAGACTCAAACCCTGGTCCTCTGCAAGAGCAGCTCTTAACCACTGAGTCATATCTCTATCCTGGGGATACATTTTTTTTTTTTTTAGTTTATTTAATAACCACATAATTAGTAGAAGCATTTCATTACAACAGCTTTGATATAGTCCATAACAGTTTCTAGAGCAAAGATGCTTCTCTTTCAAAATTAGCTGTAAATTTTTTGGTTCAGTGTTGAATTAATACAATTATACATTATTGTTCTCAGTATAAACCCTTTAAGACATAAAATTGAATGAGGTTTTAACCTTTAAAAAAAATCTCCATTTCATTTTAAAATATATTATTTCATACAGAAAACCCCATAGTACAGGCGACAGCATGCTAGATCTTGACTGAGAAGTCAGCAGTAGGCAAGACCTGCACATTGGTGGAATAGCATAGTCACAGTCGGTTACTTTCTGAGATCTTTGGCACCTGAATGTGAATATAAAGTCATCAGGTAGATTTCAATGGTAATTTTTTCATATCTACTAATTAAATTTTTACACTTCTTAATATTTTTTTTAATTTATGATTTTGTGTGTGTGTTTCATACAGAACATCCCAAACAATCTTATTCTTTATACCTGCATCCCAAATGGCACCCTCCCATAGCCCCCCCGTCCCCCACTGGAGCCCTGTTACTGTCCACTGTGTTGTCAGTGACCCCAGCTGTTCCCCAGTGCTAGTCCATCCACTTAGTCTAGTCCACCTATCTGGATTTCCTTGTTTTAGGAAGATCAGCTCTTCCTCATCTAGCAACAGTCAGTTGCCAACATTCCTTTAGATAAGATTGGGGTCTCCTGTTCATTTTCCCAGTTCTATGCTGGGTTACTATCTGGGAGTCTCTTAGGCTACCCTGACCAACGACTCAAAGGACAGTATCTCCTGTCTGGCATTGTTTCTTGTTATGTTGTAGCCTTTAGCTATACACATGGACTCTTAAAGAATTATACTGACTGCTTTAATCATTGGTCATACTTTCTTTTTGGGTGTTTAAGACCATACAATGGTCCAGATAAAATCAATTTATTTTTACTCTTAAGATCATTTGAGGATCTGTTCCTCAGGGGGTCACATGAGCTTGGGAGGAGCCCCTGGTTCCTTTATTTTACCATTTCCATCTGTGTGAAGATAAGTCAAAGGTCCTACTCAACCATGGCTGGCTTCACTTGAAAGCATGGAGGAAATGTTTCCTCTGTGTTGACCCTCCTCTTTGTAGACTGGATACTGGTTCAAGTCCATCTGTTGGAGTCTCCATGGCCTCCTTGGTCAAGAGGACAGGTGACTCACCACAGTTACAGGACACTTTGAGAGAAGCTCCATAGTCCTTGAGGATTCATTTTTTTAATATTTTTATTATTTTTTACTTCATGTGTATGAGTGTATTGCCTGCATGTATGTGAGTGCACCTGTGTTGTGCAGTGCCTGAGGAGGATAGAAGAGGGTATCAGATCCCCTGGAACTGGTGTTGTAGACAGTTGTTAGCTGCCATATGAGTACTGGGACTCAAACCCGGGTTCTCTTCAAGAGAAGCCAGTGCTTTTAACCACTGAGCCATCTCCCCAGCCCAAATTACTCACTTTTTAAATAGTACTTTTTTGGTTTGATTTGGTTTTTGTTTTTGAGATGGGGATCTCCGTATAACCCCAGCTGGCCTGTCATTATATTAAACCAGGCTGGCCTGGATGTCACAGAGATCTGCCTCCCAAGTGCTGGGATTAAAGGCATGAACCACTATGCCCAACCAATTAATAGTACCATTTGATGAACAAAAATTCAAAATGTTAATGACATGTTGATAGTTTATGATTCATGCTTAAGAAATCTACTTATGCCAGGGTCATGACAATAATTTTCCAGTGTTAGACTCCTGCAGCTTTGTTGTTTGAAGTTTCACATTCATGCCTGCAGCCTAGCTGGGATTTGTTTTTGAAGTAGAGATCATGTATTTGGGTTGACTTGTTTTTCCATATATATATCCCATTGGTCCTTTCTAAGTCTTCCAGCTTTGTAATTCTTCCATATTAACTTGGGTGTTCTTGGCCCTTTGCATTCCATATAAAGATTTTGTTATTTTCTGCCAAAAGAGAAAAAAGAATGGGATGGGGGGCGGGTTGTACACATTGCTGTAGGTATATGCACA